GAGCTATCTTAAATTCAGGAAGTAGTGGAGCTGTGCATAAAGCCCATTGGCGCTATAGAAATAAACTGAATTGAATTGAACTGAATGTAGTAATGATCAGTAAAGCCAGCTGCTTCCAGCTTTAGAAAGGTTTATTTATTTTAACTAGCCGCAAGGAGTGTTCATTCAATATGTTTCCCACTGTCACACTGTTTTTGAGATCGCAGACAGGGAGTGGAGGCAGGCAGGATGTAGCATAACTCATAGAGCCAAATCAGGAAACAGACAGACAGGAGTGAGAGACGCAAGGAGGAGAAGTATGTTTCCCAATTCTCTTACAGGCAACGTGGGTGTTAGTGTTCAAGAAATTTCAGGAACCTTAACCTGTTTTCTGTTACCCTTTCCATAGTTTAAGTTAGCTTACATTTCTACAGACACGTATTGCATTCACCAAAGAAAAAATAACCAGACAGATTATCTCATAATTAAGAGATCAATATCTTGTAATTATGAGACAATATCTTGTAATTATAAGATCTTTTCTCAAAATTACGAGATACGATCTCATAACTACGAGATCCTATCTATATATTTGGTTATAATTAGTTGAAGCATCTCTCACAAAACTGGTCTTCTTGATTAGTTCTTAAAAATACCTGCATTTGTTCCACTGAACAGTTCTCTGTACTGAGGTCTGTCCTGATACGCGTTGGAGCTCTGCTCCTGTTTTTCCCTTCATCAATAAAGTACGCAGCTTTAACCCTGGGATCACTACTTGTGGAGTAAGCATGCAGCCATATGACCGTAGGTGAAAATACGTCAACAGCTCCATTTATGCAGATTTGGTATGGTTTTAGTTTTTCATATGAATCGACATGCCTCAATGTTAGGTTGGGACCTGGTCATTTTAAACGATTCTGAAGCCTCAGCTGTTCTCCTTGAGAATCTAGAACTTTGAGAAGGTACCAGCAGACAGTTCTTCTGGACACCACCAAGCCAGCTGGAATGCATCTGAAATGCAATTTATCTCCATAAAGCATCCCGTGCTGGTTTGATTGCTCCTGCAGGTCAGAGTAGAGTGGGCATTTCTGCCTAATGAATTCTAAGGACGTACTGTGCCATGCTGACAAATTAACTTATTCCATCTCCATTGAGGAAACTCAGTGTTTCCCAGTGTCGCACACCTAACAGGAAATAAAAGCACATTAAATCCGACAACCCGCTTATTGCTCACTTTTCATTTAGCATAGCTCGTCAATGAATGTCCTCCCTAATCTCCTAAATATAACATATTATCTTATAATTATGAGATAATATCGCTTAATTATGATCTCTTTTCAGGAAAAATATATGGTGGCCCTGAAGTGCAAAGTGCAACTACAAATCTAAAAGCGCAACTACATTAAGAAAAACAAAACTACATAAAGCAAGTAAACCAGTGGGAAACATGAGACATCGCTGATTGGACGACGGCGCCGTTTGACCCTTGAACCGGAAGTCATTCTG